GCCGTAACATTTAATATGGTTGAAATTTGAAAGCTGGTCAACACAAAAACAAAAACAAAAACCTATTCAATCTGTTAATCTAGTGTCATTTCAGAACCTCAGACAGCACCACATGCAAAACACTTGACAATGCTGCCATCTGCTGGGTCTTTAAAATGACCAAAACATTTCTAGAGACGTTTGTACAAATTTTATGAAGAGTCAAAATGAAAAGAAAATTGGAAACATACGTCATAAATTACAGAATGATGAAATAAGACTGTGGAACTGAAACATTTTTAATCTAATTATTATCAAATTGTTAAAAATAGTAAATGATTAACTTCGGTCTTTTTAATCGACATGCCCACATACCAATATACAGTACTAAATAAGAGTAATGTTACTTCAAATTAAATACAATAACTAGTGGTCCAAGAGTAACTGAGAATTATTGCTGGGACATAATATGTGATTCATAATTTTAAGTAAATGTCAGTTTAAGAAAAATAAATAAATAAATAAATAAATAATAATAATAATAATAATAATAATAATAATAATAATAATAATAATAATATCAAATCTGGTATTTTCAAAGGACGTATGAAAGAGCGGTGCAAAAACATAAATGTTCGAATCATTTCATATTTTCAGCAAAAAGCTTTTGTCACTTTGACTTACTCTCAGTGGGAAGAGCATTTAGTCAAGTAAAAGTACTGTTACTTCAATTAAAATATAGTTCAATTAGGAGTAAAAGTATTCTGCAAGAAAAGTACAATTTCTTTAAAAAGTGAGTCAAGAAAATGTACCTGAGTACGACCCAGCTCTGGTTCTAAGTTCTGTACCCTCTTCACTCTTAAACTGTGTGAAGTTTAATGTTTATTTCAGAAAGAGGAGCAGAGTGGACAGAGATGTGATGAGTAATATGGACAGTGGAAAGGCGGTAGCTTTACATTATTTAATGGCTTACTTAATTATTCTTTTAATTGTGTATTTTTTCATATTGTCTTATATGGACATTGCAAATGAAGCTGGTGTGGTTAAACAATGATTCTCAGATAATTATTATGATTATTTATTATTTATTTATTTATTTCATTCATAAAGCATAAAAAGACATCGACAGTGTCACAACATCACATCAGACACACAAGAAATGAATGAAAAGGAGCAGAAAGAAGAAAAAAAAATCGTATGTTATCTGCCCCCCTTTCCTTTTCCAAATAATACATTAACACCGATGGTTACTAAACATTCCATATCAGTTCAGGCACAATTACTGATCAGTTGCAAACAGTAATCTTCATTATTACACACAACAACTTAGTTTTCTTTTTCATACTTACACACTGCATTCGATTTGATGTTTTTTTTAAATGTCATCATTGTACTTGATTCTTTTATTTCTTTGTAATAACAATGTCATTCTTTGTTACTGTTTAATAAAGAAAAATATTCCTTAAACCAACACATTCTTATTTTATAAACTTTACCTTTGAAAAAGTAAACCAAGCGTAAAGCCACGTGTCTCCTTCTGTCCTAAAGCAGAAAGAGAAAAAAGAAAAGACCGACGGTCGCGCTGCTCTGTCTTAAATAGTTAACTGTTCCTGTTTTTATTGATCTGTTGGGATTGAGGAAGTATTTCCTTCTTTATTAAACAGTAACAAAGAATGACATTGTTATTACAAAGAAATAAAAGAATCAAGTACAATGATGACATTTAAAAAAACATCAAATCGAATGCAGTGTGTAAGTATGAAAAAGAAAACTAAGTTGTTGTGTGTGTAATAATGAAGATTACTGTTTGCAACTGATCAGTAATTGTGCCTGAACTGATATGGAATGTTTAGTAACCATCGGTGTTAATGTATTATTTGGAAAAGGAAAGGGGGGCAGATAACATACGATTTTTTTTTCTTCTTTCTGCTCCTTTTCATTCATTTCTTGTGTGTCTGATGTTGTGACACTGTCGATGTCTTTTTATGCTTTATGAATGAAATAAATAAATAAATAATAAATAATCATAATAATTATCTGAGAATCATTGTTTAACCACACCAGCTTCATTTGCAATGTCCATATAAGACAATATGAAAAAATACACAATTAAAAGAATAATTAAGTAAGCCATTAAATAATGTAAAGCTACCGCCTTTCCACTGTCCATATTACTCATCACATCTCTGTCCACTCTGCTCCTCTTTCTAAAATAAACATTAAACTTCACACAGTTTAAGAGTGAAGAGGGTACAGAACTTAGAACCAGAGCTGGGTCGTACTCAGGTACATTTTCTTGACTCACTTTTTAAAGAAATTGTACTTTTCTTGCAGAATACTTTTACTCCTAATTGAACTATATTTTAATTGAAGTAACAGTACTTTTACTTGACTAAATGCTCTTCCCACTGAGAGTAAGTCAAAGTGACAAAAGCTTTTTGCTGAAAATATGAAATGATTCGAACATTTATGTTTTTGCACCGCTCTTTCATACGTCCTTTGAAAATACCAGATTTGATACATTATTATTATTATTATTATTATTTATTATTATTATTTTTTCTTAAACTGACATTTACTTAAAATTATGAATCACATATTATGTCCCAGCAATAATTCTCAGTTACTCTTGGACCACTAGTTATTGTATTTAATTTGAAGTAACATTACTCTTATTTAGTACTGTATATTGGTATGTGGGCATGTCGATTAAAAAGACCGAAGTTAATCATTTACTATTTTTAACAATTTGATAATAATTAGATTAAAAATGTTTCAGTTCCACAGTCTTATTTCATCATTCTGTAATTTATGACGTATGTTTCCAATTTTCTTTTCATTTTGACTCTTCATAAAATTTGTACAAACGTCTCTAGAAATGTTTTGGTCATTTTAAAGACCCAGCAGATGGCAGCATTGTCAAGTGTTTTGCATGTGGTGCTGTCTGAGGTTCTGAAATGACACTAGATTAACAGATTGAATAGGTTTTTGTTTTTGTTTTTGTGTTGACCAGCTTTCAAATTTCAACCATATTAAATGTTACGGCTTCAAAGTCATGAAGTGGAATTTTTTTTAATAAGGTGATATCTTTACTTATCTTGTAATAGCTATAGCTTTCCCCAAAACTACTATTATATAGTATTAGTTCTAGTAATAATCTAATAGTAATAGTCTAATTCAAAGTAGAATACATTTCATGTCTGTGTCAGTTGTCAACTAAATTAACTGAGAATTGTTCTGATTTAAATAGAAGATTTGGGTCAGTGTTACGTTTATATAGTTTATCTACATATGAGTAAAACATATTTAGCTTTTCATCCTCATTATAATTTCTAGCACTTCAGCTTCATCAGTTGGTGTTGAGCTATCACACATCATCTCTTGCATCTTCCAGTCCAGCTGATGTGACTTGTTCAGTTCTGCTTCCTTCTGCTGGTGAGACTCATTCACCTCCACTCTTCCTCCACTCAAGCTGTGGTCACAACTGATACCAAAACCTGCATGAGAGCACACAACGATAGCACGTTTTTATACATTCACATTTCCACTGCAGTGTTCAAGATGAATTTCAGTGTTTTTTGTGCTACTTGTTGTGTAAGCCTTTTTATAACTTCAGTTCTCAGATGAGTATTTTTAAAAAATAGATTCACAAATGAAAAAGCCAATCATCCCTGAAGCTTTACCTTTATGTATATCAACACAAAACAAAGTGATAATTAGAAAAACATGAAAAGCTTTAAACTTTAACTTACTGCTGTAGGATGTTTCATGTAGCGATGAATCTGATATGGTGATTGTCAGGTTTAAGCCCACCTAAACATTGTAACATTGTTTTCTCATGAGGAGGGCGGACAGAGAGTGCATTTACTGTTACAGTCTCTACCCGCTCTGCGTCTCCTCTTTTTATTGTCATAAGAGGGTCCCTAATTACAATGAATGTTTCTCTAAAGGGAGGGGTTGAAAACAGCAAAAAACAGTAGAAACATTAGACATGATTTCATTGTGCAAATATGTATATCAGCAGCAGGTGGCCGATAAGGTGTAGCAACTTTGTAGCATCTTTAGGGAACAGCATGTCCCCTCCTTTCCGCCAACGTTGGGAGCTGTGCTCTTTCCCAGAAAAGAGCTGAATAGGTCATTGTTTTAGCGGTGTGCAGAGTGGGTGACAGGTCACTGCATAGTTTTTAAGCCCAAACATTATTCACACAAAAACAGTAAGCATTAATAGAAAATATGGGATAACATATACAATTATTCTAACAGTGATGATGATGATTTATGTATTTATTTATTTATTTATTTCAGTAAATGAAACAAGCATCAAATTAAGACAAAAAAGACAAAATTATTTTATAAGCCTTTTATTTTTTTATGTTTTAATGGCGTGTTATATGTGCAAGCTGCTGTTACATTGTATGAATTCAGTGCAGAGTACAGATTAAGTGGGACACAACTTTCATATGTTTCTAAGAGCACACCCCCTCCACTTATGAGAAAGTTTTAAACATGCACACTAATATTGCCCAGAACGTCCAGTAGTGATGAGACTTTTCACTCTTTTATGAGACTTGAATTTTTTTGGATCAGTTCATGTGTTTGTTCAGTGTAAAAATGCATAAAAATGAAAAAGAAAAGTCTTGCTAAGTTGCCTTGCAGTTGAGGTTACTCTGGCTCCCTGTACTCTTCAGAACATAGATCTTTTCACATTTTTTTCAGCTTTTGATAAGTGTCCTTCGCAATTTCAGTGATCTTGAACTTCTCATAGGGAGGGATTAGCACCTCATCTTCACTACTATAGAGCGAATAGTCTTTGATGGACACACCTAAACAAGTCTCAATCTGAAAGCAAGTTTTGATACCAAACTGTGTCTTACTGGGACTGGGCGAAGAGGAGGCAAAATAACCAAATCGGATTTCTTGATTGACTTCACCTGTAAATTCTTGTTTGCTTCTCCTGTAGGTGATACGGCATGTATTTGATTTAAGTTTCTGTAAAGCAGTAGTCAGCCAGTAGTGTAAAGCGTGGTATGTGAATTCATTAGTGGCATATTTATCTGCACTGTCTCGAACCACTGCATTAAAGGGTTCATAGACCTTAGGGGCCTGTCCAGTGTAGACCAACAACGCTTGGATCTGATCTTTTTGGTCAGTGTCTTGTTGCTTTTTTCATATTTTTTTAGTTGCAGTGTTTTCTTTATTCTCCCAGGCCTTTTTGAATAACTCATTCTTCTTCTTCTCTCTGGGGAAGTATTCATTCTTGACCTTTTCAGCCATTGCATCACTGCAGCCGTTGTACATGTCATCAACTGATTTGTCCATCATACTCAGGGGAATTCTCACAGACTCCTGGACAATTTAAGAGGAAAGAGAAGAAAGGAACTGTGTGTAAGATTTAGATTTTAAATCCCATAAACACGGCCTAACTATATTTGAATATGTCTATGAGGCAGACGTGTTCAAATCAAAAATGACTTTTACTGGTAACAACTGTAATGCTGATTAATTCTAAATTATAAAAAAACATTACATGATGTCCCATTTATTTGTTGTTTTGGTTCAGTCAGAAAGCAAAATGAGTCTCTCATTTGTGTTGCCAGTTTCAAAGCTGAAATTCAGTTTGTTTTAAACCTAAAATGTGTCTCTCTGATCTGTAACGGTCACTACCTAAACCCCAGCACTGCAGCCTCTGCAGCTCAGTGTATGTGTCCATATACTGACAATGAGGAGAACTTGTATGTGTCCTCAATCTGCAGATTAAAGCCCAGGTTCAGTTGTGTTCAGTTCAAACTGTAAGACTGCAGGCATCATATAGTTTCTTTAAATAAAAGTATAGAACGGAGGATTTGGGTTGGTAATTGTTTGGACTCTTAGATAATTTTAGAAAGAAATAAAATATTGTCCTTAAACCAAGACATATTTCACAATAATCTGAATAAAAATCCTTACCGTTGGAAAAGAAGTCATCACCAGACAAAGCATCAAAGCCAGCACTGTGGTCTCCATGTCTGTGAACTAAAGCACAAAGAAGAATGTAAAACAACATATCTGGGTTATAGGGTAAACTTGCTGCCGTTACCTCAGGTCGAGTCGGGTCTCTGTCTGCAGGTCAGTGCAGCTCCGCTCTTAAATAGTTGAACTGTTCCTGTTGTCAGCATTTCCTTATTTGTTGAACAGGAACAAAGAATGACATCGTTGTTTTCAGAGCATCAGTGTTTAATCACACCAGCCTTATTTACAATGTCCACATCACAAACATCAGCCTTACATTTTAAGAGCTTATTTATATGGAGCTTAACATTGTAAAATCTTTCTCCACAGACATTTTCAAAAAGAACACAATGAACACAACACAAATAGCAAATGAAAGTACAGACACTTCTGGTGTAACTAACGGGCCTGTCCCACCGGCACGAGGCCTTGGGGGAGACCCAGGACACACCGGAGGAACTCTGGCTGTTTCATAATTCCCAGGATCCTTGGCTTTTGAACCACGTCGGAGAGATCCACGTCATCATAAGTGATGTTCTAATTCCCCCCAGAGCCCTCATGCCCTTCACTCTAGACTTCTCTGTTTGGCTCATTTACCCAGCATGTATCTGTGGATCCTTGGCTGCTGCAAAGAACTTGAACTTGTCCACAATGCACTGGGCTTGCATTTCCATAAATCTGACTCTCTTTGGCCTGGACTTCGGCCTTATAATCTTCCACAGTATCTATTTCACTTAACCTTTATAATTCCGTAAGTCTTCTTAAGTCTTCACAACACGATTCAGGTCACATTTGACCCAGACCAAGAATTCCCTCATACTAAGTGTCTCAACCAAATTCTGAGCGACAGATCTGTTTAGAATGTCTAAATAGACTATTCCACGTTAATAAATATATGTAATATATAAATGTAATGTTTCAGACAGCTGAAAGAGATTTTTTTTTAAGTTTTAGGAGAAAAATTGGAATGATAAATGAATTATGAATGATAAAGTCAAATTAATGTGACAAAAATGAGCAGATAAAAAAGGATTTGGGTTTACCTTTGTGTAATGTGTGGATGGGCTCAAATTGGCATTAGTATATTTAAGTTTTAATAAAATATTGATTATCTATTAACTGAATACTCTTTGGTTGTGCTTACACTTCTGCATATTACTTTGGCAGAGTCAGGGTCACGAACTTTTGCGTTTATCAGTTACAACATTCATTGCTGCAGTTGCAGCACTTTTCTTTGGAATCACTTAAGAAACTGTAAATACTGCAAATGTCACAGCACTTGTAAGATAAAAGCCTACTACAATTTACAAAAAATACATGAAACTTCAAGATTAGTGAGTGTGATTTTGTACTTGTGAAAAAACAACATAACGTTTCTAACACCTTCTACATTAAACAGGAACGAAGAGTGGCATGAGTGTCACCAGGTCATCAGTGTTTAACTCATCCTTTGTGTTCACTTATGAGATGAACCCACACTAAAGTGTTTAGGAGGATAGGTAGTGAATTCTCAAAAACATTCATGAATACTGTAGGTGTGAGCTATGATATCTTGTATGTGATTCTTAGGTATATTCACTGAAATAAAAGTTTGTTTTAGTTGCAGTGTTGTTTAAATATATGAAGTCTGAGCTGAATGTATCCCATCACAGTAATAGACTTAGACAAACTGTACTGATCCACAAGGGGAATTATTTAAATATAATTTAAATACACAGCGTCAGATTGTCCTGTGGTTTAGTTTGCTCAACTTTCGTTCTCGAGCCCAAAGATTGTCTTACAGTCTGTCATTAATTACACACACATTGTTAATATGTTTATTCTTCTTTATTCATAGAAACATTGTACAGCTCAGAACAATTACATTTGCATTAGTCTTATTTCAATTCAATCTTATTTCCCTAATTCCTCATTTCAACAGGTTCAGTACTTCAGGCTAGTTGAAGTTGAAGTTTTGGTTTCGTTGCCTTGCAGTTGAGATTGTGTACCACCACCAAATCTTGTAGGAGTTTGCAGAACTGGACAGTACTGGTCTCCTGTCGATTTGAGCTCCCTGGTGCCACTGCGCATGCACACAACCCCCAAGCGCTGTTAAGAGTTTAAATCCCGTTGATTTGAGCTTCTGAGGCTGAAGTGGAGTAACAAGTCACATTTTTAAAGTGTATTGGTTTCATTGTATGTTTTGACCAGTTAAGCAACGACGTGTGTGTGTGTTAGATTCACAGCAGAAAACCTACGTTAGGTGATTGAATAGTTTGGATTTAATATTTTATTGTTATAATTTTCAATACATCATATTATATTTTGTTTCCATGTGTAGAAAATGTTGTAACTTTGTTTAGAAAGGCACTGCATAAATAAAATATCACTATATTATCATAGAAATTCACACTGTTGACGATGATATTTATTTAATATAAAGATTTCAGTGTTTCCAGTCATTTCTTTCTCTAGTGGGAGTTTTATTCGATGGCTAAATTGTCCTGTCGATATGTTCTACCTTTAGTTGGAGCCCTATTTGAGCAGAACATGACTGTCCAGATGAACTACCTTCACATATTCATAAATTAAATGAGTTGAAATTGAACATAACTGAGGTATAAAGTTTGATCACCGTGTTCAAATGACATCAAACCCGCGTCTCTAATCCAAAGAAATATGTTGTAAAACTGGGGTGAGGCTTTATTGGATCTATACAACTGTGCACGGAAAAACGTAAAGTAGCTTATTTCGACGGGGTAGCATGAATCGATATACGTCACTGTCAATTTAGGCTGCAGGTAGCTCATTTCGGCAGAAGACTGGCTTACTTTCATTACGCACAGTAATGATAATGCAATTATTTCATGATTCCACTGCACCATCACCATGAAGTATACAATAAAAGTGAAATAATAAATAATTGTTAGGTTGGATGGCAGCTTTAAATGATTTGATGTCATACTTAATTATTCTTTTAATTGTGTATTTTTTCATATTGTCTTATGTGAAGGCTGGTGTGTATGGAAGTATAGATGTGCCAGAAGTTTTGAATTAGAATATTTCATGATGAATGAAACAACTCAAATAAAAAATAAAATGGAAAATGGGAGTAATTGAAAAAAAAAAAAACAAACAAACAAAACAAAAAAACATGTGATAGTTGGGTATAATTTTACATTACTTTTACTCAATCCCGGTCAGTGCGGGCCCGTCCCGACACTCAGTACTGGTTCCTTCCTGGTTTAGTCCTAGTTTAGTCCTGTTTTAGTCCTGTTTTAGTCCAGCTTTAGTCCAGGTTCAGTCCTGGGATCAGTCCGTATGCGGTGCAAAAGTCTGGCATCGCAGTTTAAGTCACGGAAACGGGCTCCAAATAGCCTAGTAGAAAACATTAACATTCATTCTTTTTGTTAGACTGAAATGACTATACCCAAAATTTCTAAAAACACTTGATTTCGTAACTGAGGCCTCAGTAAAACTGAAGATGCTATGAAAACATAAACCAGTAAACCGTAAGTAACACAGTCATTTAAAAAAATATATTTACCACTTGGTTGTTCATGGTGTGTGAGAATGTTGAATGTCTTCTGCTTTTTGGCCTCTATGAGCACGGCGCCCCCTGGTGTTGGCAAGTTCCCATAGTAACAGAATGAGCGGTGAACTTTGACCTGAATGTTTTTGATCTGAATTTCTCAACTTGAATTTTCTTTTCGCTGAATTTGGCAACTTGAGTTTTTTTTTTTTTTTTTTTTCGCAATTGAATTTTGTCAGTCTGATTTATAGATGCTGAAAAATGAAAAATCATACCCACCTATCACATGTTAATGCTTTCTTTCCCCAATTAGTTCCATTTCAACTATTTTTTATTCAGGTTATTTTATTCATCATGAAATATTCTCATTCAAAACTAC